TTTTCGACCTCAATTCCATTTTCATAGTAATAACCAAGCATGAACATTCCCTTAGAATCTTTTTTATCTGCTAATTTTTCACAATCCGTAAAACTCAACTTGCTAATGATTTTAATAATTTCTTCATCTAACATTTTCGTTATAAAAAATTAAAAAAAAAAAAAATATGCTAGAAGTTGTTTTAAACAGTATCGATATTTTGTTTTTATATAAATTGCACTCTTGGTTTTACAATATGTATACAAGCAACATCTTCAAAGTTATGTATTTAGTCTGTATTACAATCATGTTAACGCCATTATGAACATATATATATTGTATCTCGCTCTGAATACGTAAAAGGTCTAATTTATAACGATAGGGGTATTTAGATAAAGGTCCAATTCTGTTGTAATGCGGAATTACAGGAATTACAGTATGAATGTATGGTAATTTTGGACAGATAAGACTCATCATGGTAATAACGATAATAATAATTCAAAAATAAACGAATACACGCATGTGATCTTAAATTTTTTTTTTTTTTGGACGCATTCCAACCAAATAGACCGGATATCAAAACTTTATTAAAGTGAATGTTTTTTTTAAAAAAAAATATGTACAGTATACATCAGTGCGGTCGATGTATAAATAGATACAGTAATTAACTTTTTACACCAGCTAGTGGTTTCCTGCTCGTGTGAAGCAGGCTAGCTGGTAATAAAATTTGTGGTCAAATCCACTAGGTTTGACCTTGGCCGTGAAATAAAGGTTTTGTAAAAAATAGCAGAATTCTACTGGTCTTCCAAACAAATTAAGATTTTGCCTTTTTTTTTTACATGTGGTGTCTTTGTTGTGATTGTAAAATGATGATTATTGCTTGCCTCCTCACCTGTGCTATTCAGTGTGTTTATTTGTTAATTGCCCTTCTTCTTAATTTTTTTTTTATTTAGTTCGCAGTAGTGCTTTGTGTTCTGATAAACAGGACTTGAGTCTTAATCTGAATATGCTTTGTTTATATAGCTGCTACGTCACTGAATGTATTGGTAAAATGTGTCAGATGACTATTTGCTAATTTTTTTGATGCCTTATAGTAGAGTTAATACTTCAATCCGGATTTATATATCCGGATATATTACTATGTCATATGATATGATATAACATAGTAAAATTCGGATATAATAAATCCGGATAAATAAATCCGAATTTTATATAGTAAAACCGGATTGAAGTATTAACTCTACCTTATAGAATAAGTTCTGTTATATCAAAATGCCACCTTCCAAAAAAAAAAAAAAAAATCTTTCCAAGAAAAAAAAGACCACCTACGTATATAGCAAAAAGAAAGGATACAAAAAAATTTTACATGTAAAAAGTTAATGAGGCTTGTACTGGTTTCTCCACATTTATAGAGATGTCCCCTCTCCAATATATATTAAATAGAAAAGATCGAGAGAAATATATTAAATGGCACCTGATCAAAGTCAAAAGCGTTTTCAATCCGAATTACGATATGGTATCATAATAGTTATCGCATCGTTATCGCATATGTACAGCGTGAAAAAAATCTGTCGTGAGACTTTCTGAGTCAGGATTTTTATACACATATATATATATATATATATATATATATTTTTTAATTAGTAAGTTAAAATTCTGACGTTATTAAGTATGTAAAGACAACTTTTTTCAAACATTCTGCCTTTATAGAATTAAAAGCCACCAAGTATTACGGGAGGAATAGCAACTCTATTTTTTTATAAAAAATAAATTTGCAAGATCAAGTTTAACGTGCAAATTGATTTTTTTAAAAAAATGGTATCTCAAGAATTTGCCTATGACGTTTTAACATAAAAAACTCCTTGCTAAAATTTGCATACATATGTAACACCTTGTTAAAATCCCAGGCCTCGCCCTAACCCTAAAGTAAGTGAAATCTTTTTATTGTTTTATCGTTATTGGCTAATTATACACTTGATGATCACCGCCGGTTATTTAATTATTATCACTATGTCACCTGACTATATTTGTAATTTGACCGATGATAGACAACCCCAATGTATTACTGATCTATCCGTTTAAAATTAAAGGATATTTGCGAATGGTCGGATTACGGATCAAAACATTATCCTCAGTCTCGTGATTTCATAGAAATTCAAATTCTGTTATTAGATAAGAATTCCAGATCAATAATCTTTGTCTTCAAAAAAAAAAAAATAATAATTAATCTTTCAGTCCGAATCGATTTCATTTGATAGTTCAGTATTTGAATTTGTTCGGAAATCACGAGACTTAGGATCGATTCTGCCAAGACAATTAAAGTAGTTAAAGTTATATAATGTGGCAGAATAATTCCCCGACAAATAATTATTAGGGTTAGATCCAAAATTGACATTTTACGAAATAAATTTTTACAAAATACAATGTACTGTTTGATGAATTTTCTTGGCTGTGAGGGAAATGGGGTCAAATAAATTTTCTCATCGATGAAAAGTTGTGTCGGAAATGCATATCGGAGAATTGTAGTAAAAAAAAACCATACGTAAAAATCTTTTTAATAAAGTGAATTCGGTTGTTCAAAGTAGCTTATCCACGTGATGTTCCTGATGTTACTGCAGTACTGATTTTAATTTAAATCACTTTTAACGTTAAGTAATAATGACGATTTTTAATAATGGCGTACCGGTAACTAATTTTAATATTTTAGAGAATTAAGTCAGGTAATATTTTATATTATGATAATCAAAGTTTTTTTTTTTTTAATTATAAATCAAAACTAACTTAATTTATACAATTATTTTCGTAACGTTTTAACTGTTAAATAAATAAAGCTAATAATACAAAAAAAATGCTTTCTTAAAAATACTATTCTTCGATTTTTCACTTATTGTCCCTTTTCCATGGCCTATTATGGGTATAAGGCGTCCAATAAAATAAGAAATAAAATATGATGACTATGATATTTATAAAAAAAGAAAAAAAAAGGCGTTATCAGCATCAACTTATGTAAGGTTTCTCTGTGACAATATCTGAAAAATTTCCAATTATTTTTCCGAATCAGTATATATTTTATAATTATAACAATAATGGATCTATTACGTACAAATATCCCGAAAATCTTATTCTACGAAAATTTAATTTACGATATGTAATAGTCCCAACTAGATTATTACATAGTAATTATGATTATTAATTATCGATGACTGAATGTTATCTCATTTTCTTATGATAGAAAAAAAATAGAATGGTCATATTTTGATTGAGCTTTTTGTAACCATTTTAAGGACAAGAAAAAGATAAAAAGAGATTTGAATAATGATTTTTTAATAGATTTTCCGCATTGTCCTTTTTTTTTTTTTTTTTTGGTCGATTCCGAATATCTGTAAATCTATTCCTGAATATCTGTAAATCAATTCCGAATATCCTTTATTTATTTATTTTTTGTGTAGAAAAAAATTAAACCAAAATCATCGTCTGTACATTCATGTTTACATATCGTACGTACAGTACCTAGAAAAGTTCTTTGTAGATAATCGCTTTGTTAGGATTGGAAAAATTCCTTTTATTTCCTTTTTATCAATGAAACAAATAAAAATTATATTTTTAGATTTTAGCCATCGATATCACACGACATTTTAATAATTTGTTTATATAGCATTGATAAACATTTTATCTTAATTTTACAGTAAAAGAGAAAATTTTAAATCAAAGTTTAAAAAAAAAAAAAAACCTGGAAATTCTTATTAATTTGATTTATACTTGGATAAAATCAGGATTCTATCGGACAACCCGAAATAAGGGCACACATTTTCATTTTTTTTAATAGAGGAATTCGATACCCAAAATTAAAAATAGTAATGCGTTCGTTGTAATACTATTATCGTTATAATTTTTTTTTTTTTCAAGGATTTTTTTTTTTAAAAAAAAAAGTATTAAGTATCTAGCAGCTAGTAATAATTAACGTACGTACGTAAATAAGGGTGTTCATACCAATATTAATTGGTTATATATCGATATGTTATGACAACGATGAATGATTGGTATAATATTTTAGTTACACACAACCTTGATTTATTGATGTTATCAGATTAAGGTAATGGTGAAAGATTTGGCATCGTTTGTAAACAAACATGATTCATTATGAAACCAAACTTATTCATCTTATCTAAAAAAAACAAAAACCTATCAAACATATATGCGTAAATCTTTTTGATACAACGATATGTTTGTACGCATATATATACTTATATATCGATTCATTAAAATTCCACAAGCTACTATAAATTAATTCATGTATAATACAAGATGTTTATATATATTGAAATTTTATACAATAGATTAATTAAAAATTAAAGATGACAAATGTAAAAATAAAAAGTTATAGTAATTCCCCCCTCTCATTGATAATGATAATATTTAAGCCATAGTTTCATTAGTTTCATTAGTTTCATTTTCAGGTTTTGACCCATTGAAATTAAATTCTTCGTCCTCTTTATCGCCACCGGATGCCTAAAATGTATAAGAATTTTGTAAATAATTTTGAAATTTTGTATCACTCGTATATATATATTTTTACGTACCTTTTTATAATCTAATTTGGTGAACAAATACCAATATCCAGCAGCTAACAAACTACCGGCAGTGGGACCAAAATAATAAATCCAATGTCCATTACCATAATTTCCAAAAACTATAGCAGGCCCAAAGGTTCGTGCGGGATTTAAACTATTTGAAGAAATGCATAACAGTTATATATTAGTTATATTAATATTAATGATTGTATAAAAGTAATTTATATTTTACCTAGCACCAGTGGATGAACCAACTAAGAATTTAACAAAAAAGAAAAGTTAAAATATGATAAAAAAAAAAGAAAAGTTGACATAATGAAATTTATTGAACGAATGCAAGTGTGAAACTTACTGGCTAATGCTGAGATGAATAAGGAAATACCAATTACAAATGGAGCCATGAAGACAGCGTGTTTCTCAATTGCCATAAAGAGTACAGCAAATGTTAAGACAGAGGTAGCAAACATTTCTAAAAAGAAACCTTGAGCAACAGATGTATTGGGACCCTAAGATATTAATTATATTGATTAAATGTTACTTAAAGACAAAATGAAGTATTAAATTAATGATCATATATTAACGTACCAATACAGTAGCACCATTAGGATCACCAGGTAGGAGAACTTTAATAAGGAATGATCCAAGAAGGGCACCCAACAATTGGGCGATTATATATAACAAACCCCGTATAAGTTTTAAGCTACGGGTAGCCATTAAACCAATGGTTATGGCAGGATTAAGCACCCCTCCTGAAATTGGAGCCCAAAGGAAGACATTTACCATGAGAGACCATCCGAAAGAAAATGGAATGCCAATACCAGCACTATAAAAAAAAAAAGGCAGTGTTTAAAATTTTTTTTTCCATATAATAATAATAAAAATAAAATATTTACATTGAAGATGATCCAAAAGCGATGGCGCCCCCAACACCTGAAATAAAATAAAATAAAATAAAATAAAAAGATGAATAAATAAATAAATAAAATTTAGGGAATTATATTGAAAGAAACGCGCAAAAATTACCCATAAACAAAAAGTAAGCAGTTCCTAAAAATTCTGCAAGAACAGCCGTTAAATCGTGTCTATCGAAAGCAAATAGTCCAGCCATTGCTAATTTTTTTTTTTATTTTTTTTATTCGTAAAAAGTTTGAAAGAATTTTTTTTTTTTTTTTGTTTAAAAAGGCGTTAATGGCAAATTTCTTGCAGTTAAAATTTGTTGGAAAATGTTCTTTTTATAAGAAAACCGAGTCATTTATGCGATATATATTGTCATTTGATTAGAAACTTCTATAAGTAGTGATACATTCTATATTTAGTTCATTGGATAATTTAGTAAATCGGAGCATTATACTGTAGTTTTCCAGATAATAATATCAAAAAAAAAAAAAAAAAAAAAGTGAACGAATAAGTATTGATATACATTTCAAATGCCAATTATGGAAATAAACACAACACATATTGAATTCCTGTTTCGGACACAAACCAAATAAAGCGAAAACAACTTTAAGGGGGGCGTTTAAAATTCAAGTAATAGAAATGAAAAAAGAGGGTTAAGGCAAATAAATAAAGTTTTTGGTGCATAAAAAGAAATATAAAAAAAGAAATAGAATTCCTTATTGGTTGAACAAATATTAATAAGGCAAATAAATACTATTTGATTCCTTTCAAGAATATTTATGAAAAACCGACCGACAGAGCGAAACGAATCATGCGATGTTTTAGAATAATCACATAATTTTCTAGCCTAACGCTAAAGGTTATTTCAAAAATCGTCATCTCATAATAAGATTTAGTACAAAAATAGTAAACATGTGTATTTAATACCTTTGTTGGATTATCCTGAGATTTCCCATGGTGTAACAATAGATTTTCGGGTCTAGTTTAAATAGTTTAAAATACAAAATAATGTATACTGAAATTTATCATGAATAGAAACAAGGCTCTGTCATATTTTTTGAAATAACATCAGATTGTTACAATAATATTTTAAATAACGTTTTTAATGCATTATTCTAAATATGTACTGTACCTACTGACTTGGCCCCCAATTTTTTTTTTATCATTGTCAAATGTTAGCGTTAGGGTTCTCTTTACCTATCATATATCGATATCATATCGTACGTATAATTTTTTTTTTTTTTTCTCAAATAATTGTAATTAAGTACATATATGTAGTATCCTTATGCACGCCGGCCGATATTGTACGTATAATTAGTAATACTGCTATATTTATCTGTTATACGTATAATTAAATTTTTTGGATATCATTTAAATTTACTATATTAATAATATTTCCTAAGGAGCTTGTTTCCCAACGGGATTTTGATAATTTCGGCCGTTGTTCTTAAATTATCATGTTGCATAGAGCATAGAGATATTGTTATATAACAGTATAAGCTTGTCTTTTAAATAATAATAGGATTTTATTTTATTGTTTTTTTTTTTTTTTTTTAAAGAATATCTACAAATAGTATTTTGGTTAATTATGAAATTACATAATAGATAAGCTATTCTACTCTTTATTACCCCTAAATAACTTTGAATTAAATCACCTCCAGCCTAACATTCGGACACAAATAAGTTATAGTGATCCATATTTATTATATAGTCATTTACTATATCGAGAGATCGAGGAAATTTTATTTAGGTTTACTATATCAGAAGTTCATTACTGATTGGAGTTATTGTACGTAAATATTTTGATACGTACGCATCTTCAATGCAATAGGAGAATTGCATATTAATAAAATTGGAGGATGTTTGTCGCAAAAAAAAAAAAAAACAAAAAGGATTAAAGTTGATTTTCGAAACAAGGGTTGTTTCAATCACAAGGGTGATGCATATCGATATTCTTTTTTATTTATTTATTTATATAAGGATTTGTGATTGATAGGGGTCGGCGGCAAAAATTTTACGGGTCACGTGCTGACGATCATCGGATTTTTATGTAAATCTCCCAACTACTGAACTAGCTAAAGCAGGGTAAACGTATTATTTAGGTTAGTTCAGAGTTAAGATAAGGGTATATGTAAATTTGCCTTCCCGACATTTTTTACTAGTACTCCAAAGTAGCTTTAAACATCCATTTTCTCGTATTATTCATATATTTTCATTGGTCTTTTTTTTTCGTTAGAAATTCACAACTGATTGGTAAAATTGGTCCTTTTTTTTTAAAACTTTGATCGAATATACTTAGATAATTGTCTAACGAAATTCAATGATTTTTTTTTTTTTTCTTTTTTTAGTTGTATACATTCCAAGAATTCAGTTAAAAATTTTCATCGAATTTGGTCGAGTGGTTGTTGAGATACTTTCAATCAAAGTCAAAATGTTTTTTTTATGACATTACTTATTTTTTGATATATTTAAAACTTTGATCGAAAATATCTCAACAATCACTAAATAAAATTCAATGAAATTTTATTTTTATTTTTATTGAATTTGATTAGATAGTTGTTGATATACTTTCGATCTAAGTGATGAAAATTTTTTTTCTGAATTTTATTTTTGAATAAATGTTTAAATATTTTAATCAAAGATATCTCAACAAATACTTAAAAAATTCAATGAAAATTTTTTTTTCTTTGAATTAGAAATGCATTTAAAAAATTTTTTTAAAAAATTACTATTTTTACTAAATTCTAATTAGTTGATCAGATTAAACATCATAGAAAATTACTAGATTTACCCTACGGGTATTATACCCTATTTTTAAGAACATAAAAATTTAAAATTAACTTTAGGGTTAGGGTGAGCACTATATTAGGGTTAGAGTTGGACGCTAAAAACTTTTACTTAGTAACACAAAGCAAGTTTTCATAATAAAATTTTGATATTAACGTTAACGATTTTTAAAAATTTCTTTATATTCGTTACACAGAGATCCTGCGATCTGATTTGTTAATCATATAAACCGGGTACATACCATAGGGTACAAATAGAAATTCTCTACATTAAAAAAATTTTAAAATTAAAAAATTATCGTTATTATGTAATAATTATCATGAGTTACGGCTCTAACTATAATAAAACAGTCTATAAACTGAATTTTCTATAGGGCACTTATATTCTTAGAAAACATTTGCATTTGTTTATATGCTTTATTGTTTAAGTAAAAAATATTTTGCTTTTTTAGATGTAATTTTTTATTAAAAATTAATTAAAATTTCTCTCTTTTTGATCTTTTTTTTTTTTTTTTGTAAATTTTTTATCATGCAATATAATGCATTGATGCGCATGTTATTATAAAATGCGCATCTTCTCCATCTCTACTACGTATAGACATTTACAATAGCGAGCATGAGCGTTCTTTATTGAATTGTATCCTGAATATGTAAATTATGCTAAAAATAAATAAAATACGTATAAAACATGTAGGTAGCCAATGCCTATTGATACCGAGTATATAGTAAATGTGTAGTATATAGTTTGTAAAATATATATGTATAAAAATACTAATTAGCTATTAAATTGATGTAATGTACGATAAAACATGTAGATATTGTCACAGGCTAAAAGCGAGATTTCCGAAATGTAATAATGTTGCGCTTCAGATTCAAGATAAACCGGTTCGAAAGATGAATTCAATGATCAATGTCCGATTAAGATCCATGAGGCTTAGTTAATTAGTTATGAAATATTCTAATGGCTGTGACTCGAATTCGAACTAAAAATAGTCGCGAGGAAAATATACGAGGCAAAGTATTGAAATAAAGCCAAATTAAGAATAAACCCGTTAAACTTTAAGAATCTCGGCCGTGAAAGGGATGAATTAATTACCAAAGCCGCCTGTTCTATTAATATATAAGGTGAGTTATGTCTAAGTCTCATTAGTCCTTTAACATTATATAAAGGACGTAATTTTATTAAGGTTGGTTAAGGGGCACATAAGCTTACTAACAATAATAATTCCTCTTATATTATTACCCAAATCACCAACGTCACGCCTCTGGCGAGGAGCTTAAAGAAAGTATACGTATTACCCGTAACAATTGGTGGTGACTTACAATTTCCTCCGTCACAATATGTATAATGTATATTATGAGCGTTGCCAAAGTGAACATTACATTTTGGCTTTTAGTCCATTTAATTTTTAAGATTTTGTCTAATAAATCGCAGGTTTTAAAAAGCCTAAACTTTATTTTTTTTTTCTTAATAATCCCAAAATGTAATTTTTTCTTTATGATCTGATTAATATATAATGCATAAAATATATTCTATATATATCAATAATATTCTTTTTTTTTTTCTCTACTGTTTTTAAATAAAAGTTTTATTCGCTAATAAATTCAGATTTAAATTTGACTATCGAAGAAAATTATCATAATAATTTGAAAACTAGAGTTTACTGATATAGATATTGATGAATATAATGAAGCATGGTTTAATGAATATTTAGACCTAAATACTATAATATTATTAAATTATAAATTAACATGTTGCAAATACATTTTAACTTATTTAATTTTTTTTTTTTTTTAGAGCAATAAAAATTTACAAGAAGCAACATTTTCTACATGTAAATCAAATTATTTATAGTTCATTATCTATCGAATATTCTGCTATATCTGAAGAAAGAGTTGTAACTATTTTTAATATTAGTGGTTAGAATAATTACATGGATGTATTTAATAATGTATTTTTTTTTTTTTTTTATAAAATGAGGCCTTGCCTTGGATTTTATTGAGTTTTATAATATAAGTACAAATACTGTGTTACATTAATAAACTACTGTTACTTAAGCTAGGGCTAGTTTACCTCTCGGCCTGTACTCTACTAGAGTGGGCCATTGACCTCATCTAGATTTGTAGTTGGATCTTTGCTATGAATGTATCTATAACGTTATATTTAATATAAGCTTTTGACCATATTTTATTTTTGTCTCTTATTGCCTGTACTTTTATTTGTTTAGTAGTGAGTCTACTAATAGTTTGTAAAGTAATTGTCTGTGTAATAGTATTGCTAAGTTGAGTAGTATTGGATAGTTGTTGGCACTGTGGAATCCAAATCTGTTGATATACTTTGTGTATAATCTTGTATAGAAGGTGAGCAGTATGCAGTATATTATTGTTTTTAGCAGTTAAGCTTTGAGAAAAATAGATAGTAAGT